TTCCTGCTACTATCATCACACTTGTAATTATTATTTACATACAAGGAAGCTGAACACTTAAGAACAAAGTATATTTAAACTTTCTCTTTATATAAAAATGCTAACAGAGTATATCCATTCTTTCCAGAATATTTTAGTGAAAATAACATGGGACTTTCTACACGTTTGAGTTCTACGAATATCTTTGGTATATTGATATAGATTCAATTGCTTCAAACTATAATTGGTTAAATAAAATGCTTGGGATCTGGTGAGTAAGGAAATAGTCTCTTTACATCATTGTTCCCAGTTTTAAGATAGGTAAATATAGATTGTTTAGCCCAGACCAGGGATTTTTAAATAGGAGCAACACTTGCGTTGAGGCTTACTGGCCCCTTGTCTGTTGTCCTTGGTCCTGATACTTTTTTGATCTGTCCAACTAAACATTATATAACCTTAGCAAGACTAACACTTCAGAAACACTACAATATGGCCGTTTCTACTCATTCTGGCTTTATTCATATTAAATATTATTGCTACATGAACCTTCAGTGCAAATACTCTCTAACCCCACACTCCAAATTAAAACAAAATTTAAGTCTTATGTAGAGTCTTCCTAATTTATGAGCCCCCAAAAATGTGGTAATAGAGGAGTCTTCTCATTTCAGATGATCCTATAAACGAAAATAAGAGATTTGACATTAAGTGGTACTGATGGTCCCTATAGTGTTTGTGCTTGTCAATTTTGATAACTTTTCAAATTGGGTACTCTTCATGTGTTAATAACAGCATAACACATCATTACTTTATTCAATATAATTTCACAGAGATTATGTATAGTCGATACTCTTAGACTCTCTTGTCTTCACAGCTGTTAGAAAGCGCAATACTTTTCAAGACCATTAGGGACATATGAATATCAAGCAGTTATTTCCACTGCTCAAATAATGTTCCCCGTTTGGCCATGAATTCTGATCAGGGTGGGACCACGTTGCCACTGGCAAAGGGCTAAGTTCCTTCAATGTGTGATACATGAACTGGAGCATCGCAAAGCTATGGGGAGCTTGAGAATGTGTTCAGTTAAATTCCTTGCTCAGATGGGCAAGGACAAAGAAAATTATTGTTGGGCAAATAGCCTTCCTGCCCTTGGAATGGAGCCTATGTTGCCCTCCCGACTGTGGGATTGGAAGGTGTCTTATGCTGGCTAACAGAATGTGAGCAAACACAATAGGGGCAAGGGTCATTAATATGTCACACAGAGGATGTCTTTTTGTGCTCCCACAGTCCAGCATTAAAAGGACAGATAGCCACTTCCCCTTTTGTGTATATACACATATACTTTTACATATGTTTATATACTTAGACATATAATTTATATATATATGTGTGTGTGTGTGTGTGTGTGTGTGTGTATGTGTGTGTGTATATATATATATATATAATATAATTACGAGCCACTGAGACTTCCTAGTAGTCATTTGCATAGCATTATCAGGGCAATAGCAGACTTGTGCAATGGCTGGACTCTTCTGCTTAATAATTGCTACAACGGTATAAGGAAATCTTCTGAAGTTTGATTTTTAGAGTACAAGATTTTTGTCTCTTTTATTAAAATCTTGGCACTGACACCAAATGACCTTGGGTACATCACTTACCTGTTTGTGTGTACTTTCATTCTTGATTCTTTAATAACTCAGTCACACAAATTCATTTTTTATGTTTTTTTTCCATTTTCTAGACATTATACTAACCATAAAGATAAAATAGAAAAGAAAGTAGACTTTTTTTTTAACTTCAAAGACCCACATTCTATAAAATGGGTATAACCTACCTAGTCTACCAACCTCATGACACTGGAAGGATGAAATAAGATCATGTTTGCAAAAGTTCTCCAAAAGAGCTGAAAGCCAGAGCAAATATTAGGGAATATTAATTTCAATTTCAAATTTGTATTTGGTCAAACATATAGCCCAAATTTTAAAAGATCTATGAACCTGTTTAGGATGTCTTATCTCCAAAGCAGATCATCTTATCTCCCATTACAGATAAATGGATCCCTTATATTTGCCTCGTCAAATACTCTATGTGCTTGGCGTTAACCAGCTCTGAACCCTGCATGGGAAAACTAGACAGCCCTTATTTCATCTCTACGACTAGAGTGAAAAGATGAATGAATTTTTCCTTTCCAGTGTCTTCTGGTTTATTTATGTTTTTCAGATTTATGTGTGAATTGATGCTAATTCCTTCACTTTGGCAATTGCTTAGTAACGAGGTTTAAAATGGATGTATTCGATGGAAGATTTTGGTAAGTGGGTGTCAGTGAAGCGAGAGACAGCCCTGGGATCACAGTCAATTAGACTCCTAGAGGAGGAAGCCACTCAAAGTATCCCCCGTCCAAATGCTCACCAGCATGCGCAGACTCGGGGGCTGACGTGACGCACTTGGGAAGAGGCAAGCATGACGTCCACAGCTCTCTGTACAGAAACGTTGTTACTCTGGAAGCTTCAGCAAGCTGAACAACCGGGACCAGCAGCTGATGCAATGGTTACGTCACTGGACTCTCACGTAGTCGACAGCAGTTTGAGTCCCAGACCCAGTGACTTAAAACTCATGCCAGGTGTGTGTGCATGTGTGCCCAAGATCCCAAGAACAGAATGGAGAAGAGATTGCAGCATGGCCATCCCCTCAGGGGTGATTTCTTGCTTTCTGTCTCTCTGTTTCTCCAGCATGTGCACATGCTCTATAGCAAAAATCTATCTTAAAGAATGAAAAAGAAAGAAAAGAAAAAGGAAAAAAGAAAGTTGAATAACCGGATAAGAAAAAAAAATGAGTAGCAAGCAGGTATCTTTCATCTGTGATGCTCAGTCAGGCTTGGGAGATCCAGCCAGGAGAGATTTCTTTGCATATACCGAGTGTTCCCAGAGTCCTCTAGCAATCCAGCCAGTTTACTCACACAGTGGTTTCCACCAGGGCTGCCCCGTTAGAAGTTATCGTGTGCTCTTTCTGAACCACCGGGCCACAGCAGGAAAGGGCCCCTGAAGGTTTCATCCGTTTCTTTGTTTTGTTTTGTTTTAATTGCCAGAGGGCAGATGCACTCACCAGGAGAGACAAAGAAACAGAGAGGAACAGGGAGAAAGTTTGGCCATGCCTCAAGCTGTTTTCTTCCACTTCTCCATCCCATCAGGATGTGGGGTACACATGCACATGCAGTCAGCATGTTTGTCAGAACCACGGTCAGCCATGCAGGATTGAGCATCCTTAACCACTAGACCTTGGGGCTACCCCCCCACACACACACACTGCAAGGCTCTTGTTTCTTGCCGTTGAGTAATAATGGGGCCCTGGCAGCTGCTCCTTCCACTTGCTCTTTTGAGCCCCCTCTGTGTAAAGACTCAGAAGCAGCTGGCACCCAGAGTGCCCTCCATCCAACCTCCACTGCCTGATAGCCATTTTCCTCTCCCCTGGGCTGCCAGCTCTCTGTCCCAGTGAAAGCTAAGCAAAGAACCCTCCCTGCTCCTTCCGCATATATACCTTGATCTTCCCAGCCCTTTGAGGTACCTGTTACTATCCTCCTCTTACAAATGAGGAAACTGAAGCTCTGAAATGAACTTGCCCAGGGCCCCACTGTTACTAAGTATCTGAACCAAAATTCAAATCCAGATTTGTCTTCAAATAGCTCCCCTTTGCTCAAAAGAATACTTGTAACACCAGGCGATCAGCAATTACACGGAGGAGTTTTCTGGAGATGAACCCAGCTGATTCCACTCCTAAAACCCACAAATATCAAAGGGAAGGTGGAAAATTAAAAGTGAGAATTTCATTCACATTTCACTCGGTTCTACAGTGTTACCTTTGCTGATAAAAACTGTTCTACATTTCCTCCGTAAAGGAAATCAAAAGGCCCTTTCGCAGTACCTGAAAATCGCCCACGACTTTTGTCATCTTGTCTCATGGCCCTTAAAGCCCCATGTGCAGTTCCTAGAGGGTGTTTCTTGAATCCCACTGTTGGTAAGAAGCATACATCTTAGGGAGCAATGGGAAGAGTGAGTTAGACGAGCACCCCGGGAAGGAGAAAGCCAGGACAGAAAGCACAGGTGTTACTGGACCGGCCAGTGGAAGTGTACCCCTGAGACCAAGAGAGAAGGAGGCCTGTGTCCCACGCTGCATTTGAAGGCCCCGGCCACTCACAGCCTGGAGGGTAAATGGAGGTGGACATGTAGTTAGAGCCTGCTAAGTGCTCTGAGGATGAAAGAATAGCTGAACCCAACCACTGAGCATCCCGGTTTCCCCTTCCTGGTGCCACCTGAGTGTCCCAAACAGAAGCAGCCGATGCTCTTTCATGGAAGCCTCTGTGGTGGCCGCAGCCTCATAGCCGTCGTGCCTCACTCGAGATGATGAGGATGATGTGTTCGAGGTGGTGGGAAACGTCGCTGTCTCAACAACTAACAGAAAAAACGAACCATGGCTGTTCCACTTACGCACCCTGACGCCATGACAGTTCTCTCAGCAGGGAGTGAACGGCGTTAGGGCTCAACGCAACAGCAGGTCAGGCGGAGTCTGGCCACCCGTGGCTGCCTTTCTCCCACTCCTCACACTTGCCAGGGACTATCCGAGCACTGGCCCCACTCCCAGAGGAGAGTCATCGAGAGATGGCCAACAGACACAGCTGATCAAACGGTCCCCTGTAAAGACTCCAGCTGCCCTCCCGACCTGGGAAGTGAGAACCAGGTCCTCCTGGGACTTGGGCTATGGAGACACCCCTCAGAGCTGGGCTGTGCTGCACGTGCCTGAGGACAAAGCCACCGTGCCTTGTCACGCAGCGGGGAGGCCTGTTGTTCTGGGTGGCTCCTGGTCTTGCTTCTCTGCCTGTTGCCCTAGACCAACATCTGCTCTTTCTCTCTGCACTTCAAGGTAAGCCCCCCCGCCCCTGCCGAGGCTTCACTCCAGGCCAAACATACCGAAAGTCAGGAGGAGCCGCAGCCCACAGTGAATGAGTGCCCGGGCGTCTACACTGCTAGAGCCCTGGCCGCCCCTGCACAGGGCAGGGCAACAACCCTGTGGGGCCCAGGGAGGGTGACTGGCCGGCTGTGACCACTGAACCTAAGCTGGATTCTCACCTAGACAGGGCTGAGTCCAGAGCCCACACACGTCTCCACTGTCAACCTCCGGGTGAGCCAGGGCGAGCAGCGATTCCAGCAGCGCCGCTGCCGGCCGCTCCCAGCTCCGGGCTGCGGCAGGAGGAGCGCACGCCCCCTCGGGGTGAGCCGGGGCGAGCAGCGATTCCAGCAGCGCCGCTGCCGGCCGCTCCCAGCTCCGGGCTGCGGCAGGAGGAGCGCACGCCAGGTGGGAAGGGACTGGACGGAGCACCGCCCACAGAGGGGATGGCCACAGGGTCCACAGTGGAGGATTTTTTTGTTTTTATTTATTTAATGGTTTTTCAACAGCAATAAACAGGAAAGGAGTTTGGGTTTTGAAAATCTACCAATCTCCTTGCTGTCGCCGCAACTAGACTGTGTGTCGAACAAAACACAAATAATCTGGGCACGGAAGGGAGATGGGACATCTCTGCCCTCACCGCGGGCCAGTTTGGCTCATGCCCAGACATAAAGAATTTTGGCATTCCTTTTTAAATAAAAACAAATAAAACAAAGCAGTTCAACCCCGATGGTGAGTGCCAGCCGATGTGACAGAGCCATGGGGAGTGGGTGGGCCTGTGAAAATGCCACGGCTTTGCCAACAGCAGCCTCCTTGTGACACAGCAGCTGGCGGGAGCACAGGTGTGGTGTGCTGGCACGGCCAGTGGTCCCCAATGCCGGGATCGCAGGGCACCTGCTGCCCAGCAAACAGCCTGCAAGAGGCAGTCCCTGTCCCCAGGAAAGCCCCCAGCCACTAAG